CCTACATACAAGAAAATAGACTGGCAAAGTATGTCAAAGTGGTATTATTACTGTGTCCTACCTTGGCGGTTCTCAGTAATGTTTCACTGGGTCCAGGAATAGAACTGAACGGCATCTGGGTCCAATAACAGACCTATTATTGACCCTGAAACTGTCCAGAAAAGTGAAATGTTTTCAGTTGTCAAAATAACCAGATGCAATAGTATCCGTAGACTGAAGAAAAGGAATAATTGAAGGAGCCTGCATCTTGTAGTGTCTCTGAGCTTCATAATTGCAACCATCTTCACCATCACTGAAGAAGAATCTCTTTGTTCTCGTCCCCTCTTCGGGGTTCACCGTGACAGTAGATGACGTTGTCATTTGGCACAGGTTCACAGCAGACGTCCTTTCTGACTCAATCCAACCTGAGATTAGGGACTAGGAGGAAACTAATCTGGAACCATCTATACACCATCTATTAGGCTCCCCAACATCCCTAACAGAAATAAAGAGTGTCACGTACTTCATTTTATTATCATTACTGCTATTGTTATTATAACAAGGGCCGTAAAATCTGATTAAATGCAGGAAATCTGTGGATTAATCACCATTATTAATTGAGATAATTCAACATTATTGAATAAAAATTCTATATAGTGCTGGAACAAAGGAACCAGGAACAGCAGCAAGGTGTGTGTGTTTGTGTGTGTGTGTTTCACACCTGTGTTTATCTGTGACTAATCCAAAAGATGGAAATGTTCATATGAAAAACCTGCAAAACCACACGCTGAAGTGTAACTAAATATAGCTTTGCCGAAAAGTGTCAAATCTATAGTGTCAGACGGTGGAGTTTAGTCATCACTGTGAATCCAGCAAGGTGTTTTCATCATTTTTAAAACTATTTTCTAGTGCTGTATATGTTTACATGCACGTGTACCAATAGCTACAAACATGCTAATTGCTAAAATCTCACATCAATTAGTCGCCAATCCATCAAACTAAACTCTACTGCTCCTCTTTCGTCTCCCTCTTTAAGATCGCTAACAATCTGTGCAGAAGGCACGCTCGTCCTCCGAGGCCCATAACCTTCTCCCACCGCGGGCCTCAGAGCTTTTAACGTGTCAGGCCCTGCGCTGGTGATTTCTTAGGACATGTGTAAAAAAGCCATTTGGCTC